TTTATTAGTTTTATGAAGGAGATGTCCAGTCAGTCACCAAGGCGCATGATGTGTGTGTGTATGTGCTCTGCTCAGCTCAGCTCTGTGTGTTCGGTGTGTTTGTGTCTGTCCGACACCGGCATTTGTTTTCAAATGTTTATGAACAGTAATTTACACACATATGGCTAACTCCATATATGCGGCTGTTCCCAAAATAAATTAGTTTAATCTTAATCTCGATGTAGTGCTAATGCTGTCGGAGTGCACCGGAACGAACGACACTATCATAATATCTTCTGAAAACAAATGCCAGTGTTCATAATGCGGCTTCTCCTCGTTTTCCCAGCATTCACTGGATTATCCGTAAATCATACAAACAAAACCAAAACGTTAATTTATCTGTTTTCCCGTTTTGGTTTAAAAACTGAATAACGTCGGTTTTTTGGTTTTCCGAAAAACCAAAAAATGACACCGGTTCTTTTTTAAACGTTGTTAATATGTTTTGAATGCATATTGTTCTAGTATTTGTTCAGGCTGTTACATACAATTAGCCTCTGTTGCTACCTGCTGCTGGTGAGTAAATATTAAAATCAGTTAAAATTGACAACCGGTCCGCGATTTTTTTTTAATGTATCTGCCGGTCCTTGGCACAATGTACATTCGTACAACGTACAACGTACGTACATTCAATCTGGGGTTCAACTCTATTTACTGTGAAGATTGACTGGTGCACAAAGGACTGCTTTAGTTTGACTTTATTGAATCGTGGGACCCTGTATCTCCTTTTTAATGGAAACCATTCATATTCACTGTTCAGGGGCCTCATTTATAACGCCTTGCGTAAGGTTGACGTGAGAAGGTTGCTTACGTAGTACAAAGCAAAAAAATAGGTTCAGAAATGTTCCGACATTTTCCGATTCACAAAACATTGCGTACCGGCGAGGGAAGTGCGTACGGCACTTCCTACGCCTGTTTCCCTTTATAAATCACAATCGACTCGAAATGCGGCGCAGCTTTTGCAGGCTTCACGTAACGCCCATATTTGCCTATAAATAGTCAAAGAAACGCCCATTCATTCATTCATTTTGACTGACTGCATGAAGAAGATCGCAGGAAATTACGATAGAACAGCTAAAAAAGACATCTCACACCGTGTCAGATTTTGGTTATTGTGGGGAGGTCGAGATAAATCATATTGTTTGGTGGATGCAGTTTGAACCAGAGTAGCAGCATGGAGGTCGGATCGTCACCAAAATAAATAAATAAGTGGTCCGAAAAAAGTTAATGACAAAAAAAATACACATAACCTTCCTCAGGCAGTGTGTTTGTCCCGGGGACAGGAGACACCCCCTTGATGAGAAACTGTAAGAAATGATCGGGGAATCCCTCCGGAGTGTAGTCATGACGACTGGATCTGAATTATTTTTGTTGTATTTGGTGGTTTGTGTTCCAGCTGTCGATCAGCAACTATATATCCATAATCCACCAGTTAAAGGAAATACAACTAATGTGTTGTGTTATATTAGCTGTACAATTTACCACATATGGTGTTCTTTGTTTCCATACCTCCTGTGTTTTACGAGCGACTTATCGAGTCTTGGCAAACGGCATAAAACACGATTAAACGTGATAGTATATAAAACCATGCTCGTATCTACAACCTATAGAAATGCAAAACGGCGTCAGTTTAGACGTAATTCTGTCCTGCTTACCGCATCATTTATGAGAAAACATTTCATAACATTAACACAACATATTCGAGGTGGTTTTAAATAACATATCCGTATTTATTTATTTCTCCAAGTTATGTTTTTGTGTGCACTGAGGAGTCTCAAACAGGCGTTTGTTTAATCATTTTAAGGTTGGCTTTAATCAATGTTTGAAAATGAATTCTTCATATTTGATAAATGAGAGGTAACATTTTATTTATGGTATTATTTCCACATATTTCTCTCCATTCTTCCTTCTGCCAACGGTGTCGCAGTTTCTCGTCTCTCCCGTTTGTGTGCTTAGTGCGTACGCATGGGTTAGAGTTTGCGTGGAGGACCGCACATTTTCCCGTCAAGTTAGTATTTTATAAATTGCAAACATTGCGTAGAAACTGGCGTACGCCATTTTTTGAGCGTATATCCCTTTATAAATGAGGCCCCAGGACATGGTTTGGGTTTTGACATGATGTTGTTGGCCAGCCTTTTCTATTGTTGTGATTCATAGAGTTTCTCACAGGATTGACCCAACAATTCAACCGTGATTGATCTCGTCAGCTGAAGTTTCCCCAATCATGACCTTTTAATGTTCACTTACCGTAGATAAAGACCACAGCCAGTTCGTTGCAGACGGAGCAGATGACTTCCTGATCAGAATATCAATGACAGCTTATGTTGGCCGCCTCTCCAGCTCTATCACCTTTTCTCCTTCAATTTCCACTGCCTCCACTCCCTCCTACGTCTTTAGTCCCCAGGGGGTTCATAATGGGAGGTTGTTCTGCCCAATACTCTCTTTCTGGTTGCATGAAAAGTGGGAACACTGTGTTAAAGCTCGATGGGACGACGATGTGATATGAACAGGACATAGATGGGTTAAAGAAGAAAATGTCTTGACAGTCAATTTACCAGCTGAAGCACACGATGTCTTCTGTCATTTTTACACTCAGAGGATGTATTAAATTGGTTTCATTTACAACGTAGCATAACTCACATGCTCTTGTTCTTTTCACGGATAGCTCTTGACCTCCAGGCACTGCTGGGATTTGAACCCAGGATCTCCTGTTTACAAGACAGGCGCTTTAACCCCTAAGCCACAGCGCCTCTGATTAACCCTCATTAGTACAGTCGTTTTATGACCAAGCTACAACCCTGATCTCTGAGAAATTAAACCATCTTACAAGAAACGGTCGCATTTCCTCTTATAACCACTTGACTCAGGTCCTAATTTGAATTGGCTGCCATTTTAAAGGCACTGGCTGGATATGAATGCAGATCAGTTTTAAGATAAGAACCAAAACAGGATTAAGGCGCTGTGGCTTAGTTGGTCAAAGCGCCTCCCTGTCTTGTAAACAGGAGATCCTGCGTTCAAATCCCAGCAGTGCCTCACACGGGGCACCACACTCAAAACTTTAAAGCGCAAGTATCTAGGATAAAGTAGATCTTTTTTTTTCTAGGAACATTGCATCTTTCAATTAATTATATGAATGAAGGTTTACTTAGAGACGATCAAACTGGCACTGTCGCCTAGTGGTTAAAGCGCCTGTCTCGTAAACAGGAGATCCTGGGTTCAAATCCCAGCAGTGCCTCATGTAGGTGTCCGATTTGGTAAAGACCTCCACAGTTGATTCTATGATAGGAAGAAAGCTATACAGTTTGTTGCATCACTTTTTAATACAATAAACATAAGAATGGTTCATTAAAGTGTACAGGTTGTTACCCAGTATGAGGCACTGCTGGGATTTGAACCCAGGATCTCTTTTTTGCCCGTCTGGAGATATCTTATTTCTCAATTCAAAAGTAAACTTTTAACCATGCAGTCATTAGAAAAACACAGTTATTCTAATGACCACTTGAGGCACGAACCCAATAGCTTTGATATGAAGACAGCTTTGTTTTAAGACAAGAAAACAATGCCACATTTCTTTCTGGAAAACATATCTCATGAAGAATTCATCCTGAAATCCTAGGATCACTTGAATTGTTGACATCCTGCAAATCCATTGAGGCACTGCTGGGATTTGAACCCATGAATTTGTGTTATCTTCTTTTTCACATCACAGAATTAATGCAGCTTTGATATTAGAGAAAACTGACAGGATTACAAGGGCACTGTCGCCTAGTGGTTAACCTGTTACGCACCTTCCGCCCGGTACCGGGCGGATAAACGCGTCATTTGCAGGAAACAACGTCTAAGGAATCTTAATATTGAATAAAACTATGAATGTGTTATATCCATGTAACGGGAAGAAACTCAGCTAACTGATCTTTTTATTTTTTTTTTCAAAAAAAACCCACAATGCTAGCACTCAGCCTCTGAATTAGCCACGAGCGAAAACATGTAACGTAAAGCGGCACCTAAACTCACAATAACTCCCTTATTACTTATCCTAGATGCACAACCAACCACTCGTTTTTGGTGTCCTGGAGACACTGAATCTAACGGTGCCCTCCTCAACACTCAGTGATAAACATTTGCGACGCTATAAACGAAAGCGTACATCATAACATGTGGAGCTAAGTAGCTAGAAACGCTAACATGGCTTACCTTGGTCAAAAGTGGTCTTCAATGGCATTAAAACGATAAAACGATGCTGCAGTTAATCCATAGGTTCATCCTATGTATCTGTGCCTTCTTTGAAATTATTTCTGATAATCCATAAGCAATACAACTGCGTTTTAGTTTCCAAATGCCAGAGCTAGAATGTAGCTCCACTCTAACCTAGATTTTCAAACGCGAAGCCCCCACCTTTTCTCTTTACAATGAGTGTGTGTGTGGGGGCCTCCCCCTTCGATTCGATTGGCTCTAACGGTCAGAAAGAGGTGTCAACCATCAAAATCGACCAAGGGGGGCCAGAGATATGGAAAAAAAAACATTTTCACCCAAATCACCTCAGAGGTGGGTGGTTTTGGCTAAACCTCTCTAAAAAGGTCAAATGTCACTTGTTTTGCATCAATCTTGATACAGGGTACTTATTATATGTTGTACTTTGGATTCCTAAAGCTTTTAGTCTACTAACCCATCATCCAAGGGTAGTTTTCACTATCTGTAAAAAAGAATTTTTGGACGGACACTATAATTTACAGTTTTTTACTATGTAAAATCTGAATTTTCTTTAAAATAAAAAACATTTGTATTGATTCTTACACTTCTACATCCAACTCACAGATGTAACCTTGCTTTGATAAAAGAAATTATTCATATAACCCTTTTAGAAGTTAAGTTGTAGTCATTTGTTTTGGGCATGTCATTTTCGAGCCTGAAACATGAAAAACAGGCTTGGTGCTTAACAGGTTAAGAAGGGGTAGGACAGAAAGGGCACTGTCGCCTAGTGGTCAAAGCGCTTGTCTCGTAAACAGGAGATCCTGGCTTCAAATCCCAGCAGTGCCTCATAGGGTGTGTGATTTGGATTATGTAGATTGTTCTCATTCAAGAAAACAGTGTGTAAACCTTAAGGTGCATTTTCTACTGAAACTACCACTGAAGGAATGTTTTAAACAATTTTTTTCCAAGGAATCAGAAGTTGATTTCTATATGCTAGGAAATGCCATCAAACCCAACACACTGGTTCTTTAAAATGCACAGTCTGGTGCCCTGTGTGAGGCACTGCTGGGATTTGAACCCTGGATCTCCTGTTTACAAGACAGGCGCTTTGACCCCTAAGCCACAGCACCTACTACATGGATAAATTTACTTGAAATGGTTGACATCTTGGTAATCCATTGATTTGGACTCAATATTTTGTGTTATATTCTGCTTAACATGATGTAAATTAATGCAGCTTTGATATGAGTTAAAAACATCTGAACACTGAGGGCACTGTCGCCTAGTGGTTAAAGCGCCTGTCTCGTAAACAGGAGATCCTGGGTTCAAATCCCAGCAGTGCCTCATGTAGGTGTCCGATTTGGTAAAGACCTCCACAGTTGATTCTATGATAGGAAGAAAGCTATACAGTTTGTTGCATCACTTTTTAATACAATAAACATAAGAATGGTTCATTAAAGTGTACAGGTTGTTACCCAGTATGAGGCACTGCTGGGATTTGAACCCAGGATCTCCTGTTTACAAGAACGGCGCTTTAACCAACTAAGCCACAGCACCTCTTTTTGCCCGTCTGGAGATATCTTATTTCTCAATTCAAAAGTAAACTTTTAACCACGCAGTCATTAGAAAAACACAGTTCCTATAATGACCACTTGAGGCACGAACCCAATAGCTTTGATATGAAGACAGCTTTGTTTTAAGACAAGAAAGCAATAAAACATTTCTTTCTGGAAAACATATCTCATAAAGAATTAATCCGCTGAATCACTGCTGGGATTTGAACCCATGAATTTGTGTCATCTTCTTTTTCACATCAGATAATTAATGCAGCTTTGAAATGAGAGAAAACTGACAGGATTACAAGGGCACTGTCGCCTAGTGGTTAAAGCGCCTGTCTCGTAAACAGGAGATCCTGGGTTCAAATCCCAGCAGTGCCTTAATTGATCAGGGATAATGTGGATCTACATTCTTCTCATTAAATATCAAGATGTGTTTGTTTGGGAAATACATTGAAAAGGCTAAATGTCTTTTGGGGAAAATGCCACATTCATCCTGAATTCATTGGAAATGCTTGACATCCTGCAAATCCGCTGAAGCAGTGCTGGGACTTGAACCCATGATTTCATATTATCCTCCTTTTTACATGATGGCAATAAATGCAGCTTTGGTTTAACCTGTTACGCACGGCCCCCCCGGTACCGGGCGGATAAACGCGTCATTTGCAGGAAACAACGTCTAAGGAATCTTAATATTTAATAAACTATGAATGTTTTATATCCATGTAACGGGAAGAAACTCAGCTAACTGATATATATATTTTTTTTTCTCCAAAAAAACCCCACAATGCTAACACTCAGCCTCTGAATTTATCCACGAGCGAAAAAATGTAACCTAAAACTGCACCTAAACTCACTCATAACTCCCTTATTACTTATCCTAGATGCACAGCCAACCCATCGATTAGCATCAGCTGGAGACACAGAATCGTTTGGTGCCTACCTCAATACTCAGTGATAAACATTTGCGACGCTATAAACGAAAGCGTACATCATAACATGTGGAGCTAGGTAGCTAGAAACGCTAACATGGCTTACCTTGGTCAAAACTGGTCTTCAATGGCATTAAAACGATAAAAAAACGATGCTGCAGTTAATCCATAGGTTAATCCAATGTGTCTGTGTCCTCTTTGAAATTATTTCTGATAATCCATAAGCAATAAAACTGCTTTTTCGTTTCCAAATGCCAGAGCTAGAGATAGGTCCACTCGGCTGCAAATGTACATGCGCGCAGCCCCCACCTTTTCTCTTCACAACGTGTGTGTGTGGGGGCCTCCCCCTTCGATTCTATTGGCTCTAACGGTCAGAAAGAGGTGTCAACCATCAAAATCGACCAAGGAGGGCCAGAGATATGGAAAAAAAAAACATTTTCACCCAAATCACCTCAGAGGTGGGGTGGTTTTGGCTAAATCTCTCTAAAAAGGTCAAATGTCACTTGTTTTGCATCAATCTTGATACAGGGTACTTATTATATGTTGTACTTTGGATTCCTAAAGCTTTTAGTCTACTAACCCATCATCCAAGGGTAGTTTTCACTATCTGTAAAAAATAATTTTTGGACGGACACTATAATTTACAGTTTTTTACTATGTAAAATCTGAATTTTCTTTAAAATAAAAAACATCTATATTGATTCTGACACTTCTACATCCAACTCACAGATGTAACCTTGCTTTGATAAAAGACATTATTCATATAACCCTTTTAGAAGCTAAGTTGTAGTCATTTGTTTTGGGCATGTCATTTTCGAGCCTGAAACATGAAAAACAGGCTTGGTGCTTAACAGGTTAAGAAGCGGTAGGACAGAAAGGGCACTGTCGCCTAGTGGTTAAAGCGCCTGTCTCGTAAACAGGAGATCCTGGGTTCAAATCCCAGCACTGCCTCATGTAGTTTGTCTGATTTGGTTGATAGAGATTGTTCTTATTCAAGAAAAACTTAACCTCAGGAATTTTTTTAAGATTTCCACAGTTGTTTCCATGATATGTAGAATGCTATACATTTTGTTGCATCACTTCTTTGTACAATAAAAATAACATACTGATGCATTAAAGTGTACAGGTTGTTACCCTGTGAGAGGCACTGCTGGGATTCGGACACAGGATCTCCTGTTTACAAGACAGGCACTTTCACCAACTAAGCCACAGCGCCTCTTTTTTGCCCTTCTGGAGATGTGTTTTTTCTCAATTCAACAGTAAACTTCAAACCATGCAGCAACCGTCAGGTCTGAACAATTAAGCCAACTCAGAAGTTACTAACAACACAGTTCCTATAATGACCACTTGAGGCACGAACCTAATAGCTGGATATGAAGGCAGCTTTGATTTAAGACGAGAAAGCAATAACACATTTCTTTCTGGAAAAATATCTCATAAAGAATTCATCCGCTGAATCACTGCTGGGATTTGAACCCATGATTTTGTGTCATCTTCTTTTTCACATCAGATAATTAATGCAGCTTTGATATCAGAGAAAACTGACAGGAATACAAGGGCACTGTCGCCTAGTGGTTAAAGTGCCTGTCTCGTAAACTGGAGATCCTGGGTTCTAATCCCAGCAGTGCCTCATAGGGTGTGTGATTTGGATTATGTAGATTGTTCTCATTCAAGAAAACAGTGTGTAAACCTTAAAGGTGGGGTAGGTAATTTTGGAGAAACCAGCCGGAGTGCGCTAGATTTGAAAATACACAGCCGGAAAAAATCTGCCACTTCCTTACAGAGCCCCTCCTCCAACACACACGAACGCGCACATGACCAATGAGATAAGTTTGTGCACAGATGGAAGGCTGACAGGCAGGTAGGCCATCCAGTTATTTTAGCCGGGCCGGCTCAGATGATTGGTCGTGCTTTTTACAGTACTACGGCTTCCACAGATGACATTTTGTTATGGATTTTTTGTCAAAGCACTTCAGATATTCATTGCTATCGGGATGTTAAGAGCATTCCATGGAATATTACAAAAAGTGTATCTCGAGCAGGTTTCTCAAACTTACCTACCCTACCTTTAAGGTGTATTTTCTACTGAAACTACCACTGAAGGAATGTTTTAAACATTTTTTTTCCAAGGAATCAGAAGTTGATTTCTATATGCTAGGAAATGCCATCAAACCCAACACACTGGTTCTTTAAAATGCATAGCCTGGTGCCCTGTGTGAGGCACTGCTGGGATTTGAACCCAGGATCTCCTGTTTACAAGACAGGCGCTTTGACTCCTAAGCCACAGCACCTACTACAAGGATAAGTTCACTTGAAATGGTTAACATCTTGGTAATCCATTGATTTGGACTCAATATTTTGTGTTATATTCTGCTTAACATGATGTAAATTAATGCAGCTTTGATATGAGTTAAACACATCTGAACACTGAGGGCACTGTCGCCTAGTGGTTAAAGCGCCTGTCTCGTAAACAGGAGATCCTGGGTTCAAATCCCAGCAGTGCCTCATGTAGTTTGTCTGATTTGGTTGATAGAGATTGTTCTTATTCAAGAAAAACTTAACCTCAGGAATTTTGTTAAGGTCTCCACAGTTGTTTCTATGATATGTAGAATGCTATACATTTTGTTGCATCACTTCTTTGTACAATAAAAATAACATACTGATGCATTGAAGTGTACAGGTTGTTACCCTGTGAGAGGCACTGCTGGGATTCAGACCCAGGATCTCCTGTTTACAAGACAGGCACTTTCACCAACTAAGCCACAGCGCCTCTTTTTGCCTTCTGGAGATGTGTTTTTTCTCAATTCAACAGTAAACTTTAAACCATGCAGCAACCGTCAGGTCTGAACAATTAAGCCAACTCAGAAGTTACTAACAACACAGTTCCTCTAAAGACCACTTGAGGCACAAACCTAATAGCTGGATATGAAGGCAGCTTTGATTTAAGACGAGAAAGCAATAACACATTTCTGGAAAAATATCTCATAAAGAATTCATCCGCTGAATCACTGCTGGGATTTGAACCCATGATTTTGTTTTCATCTTCTTTTTCACATCAGATATTTAATGCAGCTTTGATATCAGAGAAAACTGACAGGATTACAAGGGCACTGTCGCCTAGTGGTTAAAGCGCCTGTCTCGTAAACAGGAGATCCTGGGTTCAAATCCCAGCAGTGCCTCATAGGGTGTGTGATTTGGATTATGTAGATTGTTCTCATTCAAGAAAACAGTGTGTAAACCTTAAGGTGTATTTTCTACTGAAACTACCACTGAAGGAATGTTTTAAACAATTTATTCCAAGGAATCAGAAGTTGATTTCTATATGCTAAGAAATGCCATCAAACCCAACACACTGGTT